GGCAGTAGAATATTTTATGCAATACAATGTATTATAAATTATTTGTTTTCTGTATAAATTTAATAAAAAGTACGTACTTGTTTGACAATGGGAAAAAAAAAAAAAAAAAAAAATAAATAATATACACAACAAACACAAACAAACCCCCAAAAAACCCCCCCCCCCCCCCCCCCCCCCCTCTAGGTCATATATCTACCCCCTCCATTCGTTTCTCCCCCCTCCTCTGTGATTGTTTACCTTGATCTTTTATTCACCAGTTCGCTTCCACCTCTTTTTTTTTTTTTCCTTCTTGCTATCTACACTCGCAGATCTATTCTCGAGACGGTGTTTTACAAAACTCACCAACTCTGTACGATCAGGTAGCTACTTTTTTGTTGACCCTTCTCGATTGCATGGCGCATCTCACCAATTTGCATTTTTCACTTACTCGACATCTTCCTTCTCTTTTTTTTTTTTTTACGAAAACAAAAAGTCTCAAGAATATCACAATAACAATAACATGGTAGGTGACCTTTTTTTCTCTTGTCCAACCATTCCTTGTTCGCTACCATCGTCAGCAGTTAACGAAATAATCACCTTCACAGATATATCAAACCCTTCAAAATCACTCAGAGGTTCAGAACACAAAAGAACTAGAATCTCCATCTTCGAAATCAGACATGGTAACAAGCTTTCACTTGAACTTTCCAAAACATCTCCACCTCTCTCGTTCTTCTTAACTGATCGATATTTGCCTTGACAGCACAGTTCACCCAACTGTCAGTTTGATCAAAATGGTTGGCAGGTAAGACGACGATTGAGTAATGTTGGTTGGTTGGTGGTCAGTCGAACGTGGACTAACCGCAGGTGGTTCCTTCCTTCCTTCCCTCCTTCCTTCCTTCCTTCCTTTCTTTCTTCCTTCCTTTCTTTCTTTCTTCCTTCCTTTCTTTCTTTCTTCCTTTCTTTCTTTCAAACAGAACTCCCATCATCAGGTCAACGAGTGTAATGAGATGTACCCGCACCATTTGGCACTCACCAATATATACGGTTCGGTGTTGGAAAGTCCATATCCAACTCCCAATCTCGTCACAATGGATACAATGCAATCAACATTATCCGTATCAGCCGCTCCACCTTCTTGTCCTCTTATTTCTCTCGGCGAAACTTCGGGTTTCAACCTCGCTTTTAATGCTGTACGCGTCATGTCGCTCATTTCTTTGTTTTTTTACCCGATTTCTTTTCGTTGTTTTCTCACTTCTTCTCTGATTTTGCGTTTCCAGAGAAGACCACAAAACTTCATGCAATACGAATCCGACTATCTCCAACAGGCACGCGCCAACATTTCCCAGCAAACCACGCGCATACCTTCGTCCAGTCCAATCGGCAATCAAAAACCGCCCGTTTACACGAAATGGACCGAGGAGGAGGATGAGTTATTACGCGCCGCCATAAGCATCTACGGTCCTCACAAGTGGTCCCTCATCGCCGCCCATGTTCCCAACCGTACCCCGATGCAATGTTCGACCAGGTGGTTAGGCGCTTTGAATCCGACCATCCACAAAGGAAGGTGGACGCCCGAGGAAGACGCGGCGCTAAAAGACGCCGTTAGCGAGTTCGTCGATTTGTTCGACGCAGAGGGTCATCCGCAACCCATACCGTGGAACAAGATCGCTTCACGCATCCCTCATCGAACCGGAATTCAATGCCAGGCTCGTTGGTCGGAGGCATTGGATCCCAGCGTTAGAAAGGGCAAGTGGTCACCTGATGAAGATGAAATTCTAAAGGAGGGCGTTAGACGTTTCGGCAGATGCTGGATACGCATCGCCGAATTGATTGAAGGCAGAACTCAGGTACGTGAACGGATGCTGACGAACTTTTGTGCTTATATGAATTCCACCTTCGTCTGGCTAACGAATCACACGCACCGACTCTACTCTCGTTCATCCAGAGGCAGTGTAGAACACGTTGGGTGCAGATAAAGAACAAGCAGGTCAAACTCGAGAGAGATGCTATGGCCGCGAAGGCCGCCGCATCCAACTCTTCGTCAACCGACGAAGACAGCAATGATGAAAGTGCTACCATGTTGACCCCACCAAACACGACACCCTCTACCCCGGCGCAAACGATAATGAGTGCTCCCACGTCCTCGGCAATGTCGGGTATGTTACGTTCGATGTCCGTGCCGTCCATCGCTCGCCTGAATGTACCTCCCGCACCGCGAAGGCAAGCATCCGCCATGTCATCGGTTGTCAGCAATCAAAGTCCGATGCTGTCTCCGACCGACACCCTTGTAACGAGTCCCGAGTCTTGCGTCACGACACCCGAGTGCATCTCCTCTTCGCCCATATTTGAATCAACAAACAATCCCGGCGTCGTCAAGCCTTCGAATCATGAGAATGTGATCATGTTCACCCACGATCCATATCCGTATTTGCACGCATAAGAATCAAATCCATTTTATACACAAGGTGACAACGAAACCAGACCGCCCAATTGTTTTATAAAAAAGAAAAAAAAAAAATACTTTCTCGCGCATCCTTTTATTTTATCATTAATCAATGACTTTTTTTTTTCTTACGGGGATTTCTTCCTGTTCTCCTTGATTTACGATGAATTCTTCTTTATGCTGATCTAAGATCAATATTTTTACTTATTTCCACTCTTCCCCGTTCTCCTCTATACATTCTCCCCTCCCTCTCGCGTATTAAAAATTAAAAAATTCAATTTTCCTTTTTTGTGTGCTTCAATCTACCCCAAAATATCTATTCTCACATCCATCTATATGGATTTCGACTCTTCACAAGGTACAAAAGATACCATTTTTCGTTTAAATTTACCCCCTTTTTTTCGTATGTAACTCGCGTATTTCATTCGTGTTTTTTATTATTTTCAAAAGAAAAAAGAACAAAAAATCCTTAGATTTATTATTATAATTATGAAAATTATACAAAAAAAAAAACAAAAAAACTTTTTTTTCTCCTACAAAAATTAAACAAGGCCATTACCAAAAAATTTACAGCTTTTAAATATAAAATCTTCAACGGGACCCGAAAATAAATAAATAAAGTAATAAATAAAATAAAATAAAATAAAGTAAAGTAAATAAATAATAAATAAGCAAACGAGTATAAATGGTAAATGTATATTGTTTTCATATTTTATTTTTATCTGCATTAGAAAAAAGTTGAGAATGAACAAGCTCATGTACAGTATGTCAAGCCATGAAACCTGCTCGCCGCGTCTTTTTATGTAATTTCAAAAAATTACGCGTAGATTGCATTTTCCCAATTTGTTTTTTTCCAACCACGAGATCTTGATTGCAGTGGAAACCCGATCTTTTTTCGTGTTAGCTGTATATGTCAAAATGTCAAATGAAAAATATATATATCAAGTCTTAAAGTTATCTATTCTAAAACTAATAAATTCGGTATAGAGTAATGAATGGATGATCACGTGACCAAGACATATTACTTTTCGCTCAGTGATAGAACACGATAAACTAGTAAATTTTTAATCCCATGTAAAAAATATTCGATTTTTTTTTTATTAGAATTTCGAAAAAAATTCGTAATTCCTTTAAAATCGGGGTTGAAGCTCCATGCAAGCAATTTTTATTATTTGTCTCAAAAAGGTTTTTTTCATCATCTTGAAAAATATTTACAAAATTCTCTTATTTCAATAAATCTTTTTTGTTAACCAAAGACCCTTGACTTGAGATTTTATTCTCGAATGCAGTTTCACAAACAACTGCTAATCCCAATGCACCGTCGCCATCATACCCTGTCACCGGGTTTTTCTCGGTTGAATCAACAAACCGTCATTGCATCGTGGAATGCATACAATGAATTCGAAAAAGGTCAATTAAATTATAAAAAAAAACCCCATATTTTTTTTTAATATAAGCTTTTAAAAATTAAAAATCGGAATTTTATATATTAAAATAACATATTTAAAAAAAATAATTTTTTGTTTATTTTACGGTACATGAAGAATTTACTGTACATAACATATTAAAATTTATGACCATGGCAAATCCCATTTAATTTACGAAAATCGAGTTTCAAAAGGATCGAAATGATCGAGATTCGACTTAACAAACAAAAAAATATATATGGGTAATTCTTTTCGAAGGCGGATAGGGATTTTTCAGTCACTATAATTGTGATCCTAAAATTTCCATTGTGTATGTATTGTTTAAAAGTAGGGACCGAAAAAATCATATCTAGCATTTTTGCTGCCTTCAAAAATAATTACCCATATACCTGTAAGTGCATTGTTCTCGAATACAAACATCATTTTTAAATATGGTAACCTATCTTTTTATATATTAATCTTATATACTGTATATTATATGCGTCCGGAAAATTTTTTGAAAAAAGTTCTTTGAAGGTTTTTGAAGGTTTTCAAAAATATTTGAAAATTTATAAACTCTTTCGGAATTATCAAGTAATTTTTCGGCCTCCAGGGTTTTCTAACAATAATGGAGAACTCTGAAAATCTTTTCTCTGATGTATTATAAATTACAATCACTATATACAGTATATATTATTATTATTACATATCATATCATTATATTATCACATATCATTATAATCATTCATAAATTTATCTTAATAGTTTTGTAATTATGAAATTCTTTTTTGTCAATCCTTTGTTAATCCTTTGTCAATTCAAAAAACTGATATTCCAAAGAAATTTTGATGTTTCTTTGTAACAAAATCTATCGATTTTTTTTAACAATATTATTACCTAAAGATTTTACTTGTTTCTTTTTTCAAAAAATAAATCTTTGTTATTTTAACAAGTAAATACATAAAAATCTATTTGTAAAATAAAAGATAAGAATGTTTTATTAGAAAAAAAAACATGATGAAAATATTTTGCTTTTTTTTTCACGGGGTTAAGACTAAAAAAAAATATTTTTTTGATTTTTAAATTTTTTTATTTTTTTAAGTTTATTTTTCTTATTCTTTTGAATATATAAACTATTTTTATATTTTATAGAAAATTTCACCTGGTTCAGTTTAATCTTGAATTTTAGTTATACTGAAATTCTTGAATACTAATTAGTTAAAAATCTGAATAGTTAAATTAATATGTAACAAAAAATATAAACAATATATATAATTTTCATATATTCTATTTTATACAATAATAATATAATTAGTTTGATAAAAGAATAAGGCAATAAAATATTCTTTTAATTTAAAATAATTTGATGTTTTTTTTCTTCTTTCATATATTGATTTTTTTTCTTTTCAAAATAAAAGAAAGGTTTTTATACTTGTCACTATGCTACAGAACTTATATTATATTATATTTAATAATTCAGATGATTTGATAGATACAAAGTATTATATAAAAAATAATAATTATATTTTTATTTATAATTTAACAAAAAATTTTAAAAAAGAAAATATAAATTTTAAATATAATTAAATTAATATTTATAGAATAATTTTTACATAAAATTATTTTGTTATTTATTTTTATTTTTATTTTTTTTAAATGTGAACAGGCATTAAATGCAAAACATTTATTAATATTTTGTTATTTATTTTATTATTTAATTTAATATTTTATATGGTATCTTTTAATTTCTATATAATTACTATTTAAAAAAAGCAATATATATTTATTTTTAATATAGTTTTTGCTTTTTAAATTAAAGATTTTAAAAAGTAAAATAAAAGAACAGATTAATAAATTAAATAATTTTTTTAAAGAAAATATTAATATAAATATAATAAATTTTTAATTAAATTTCTATTTAATTTGCTTTTAATAATTTGCAAGTTTGAGACATATTTTTAAATATTTGTCAAATATATATATAATATAATTTTAATTTTTTATTATATACTATATAGTGTCATAAGTCAGGGTTTAAAGTAACATATCACAAAGTCTTGACTTTGCAACATTCTTGTATAGGAGTTATGGGTTTTACAAGGGAGTGATAAACAGAAAGAAGACATGGATTTAACAAGTTTCAATAATTTGAAGGATTTAATTAATTGGGAACAGTGTGATAAGTATAATAACTTTTATCAGTGAACAATTTTTTATTAACTTTTTTTGATTGTCATTCCTTTTTCTCTCTATTTAATTATTACATTGTTTATATACTTTTTCTAGTGACAAAATAAAATAATAGAAATAATAGAAATAATAGAAATAATAGAAATAACAGAAATAATCAATTATACAAAACAAGCAGAAATAATTAAAATAATCGATCGAGCTAAACAAGCGAAGTTGAGGATCAATTACTTAATTAGGTAGCCTCTATAATATATGATCTTTATTATACAATTTTTAATACATATTATTGATTATTTTTTCCTTCTAACAATAGATCAAATACTATTAATTAATTGTTATAAACAAATATAATCAAATTGAAATATAAGATCATAAAGTATATATATTGTTTTATTTTATTTTTTATTTTATTTATTTTTTGATATTAATTAAATATATATTTTTTTTTAGATAAATAATATTAATAGCATATAATTTTGACTTACC